CGATCATATATAGGAGTATTTGGTACGAATTTAAAAAATCTACTATATTAAATTTCTGTTTTATTTAATACTAATACTTATAATTTTGTTTATAGTGGATTCATACTATCACGTTCGATAATCAATATGCCATATCAAAGATCAAATTTACGATTTTATTTTAAATTTTGCAGATTGAAGCATCTAATATTTGGTATCAAACATGTGACCCTCAGAAAACAACGCAAAGATGAACAGTGGAAATAAGGATATTGACGATTGCATTAAGGAATTTCAACTTAAAGCTACAAAATATGAAGTAATCGAATAGATTCCTTTAATAGATTAGTTAATATTCAAAACATTAGCGATAAAGTTTTAGCAACCTGGTTAGATGGAATACGATTTCTAAATGTTGTTATATATAAAGAATATACACAGTCAAGATAACAGAATCAAGACTGTTAGTCCCAAACATGTCAGATATTATGCGTTACCTGAGTCACCTATCGACCTGTAAGTAGTTAATTTATGAAGCTAAATTTAGTATAAAGAATGTCAGTTACATAATGCTATTGAGATTGCTAATAATATATATTATTAATCAACTTGATAGCAAAGTGATATTAAATGACGGTTTTTATACTAAATTTAATCAATCATAATTAAATATTAAAGAATATTCTTTGGTTATTATTTAATAGACTCTACTAAATATGAGCTTGACGCTCAAGTTAAATATAATGAAAAAAGTGATCGTTACTTTGTAAATAGTACACACAAAGCACTAGGCTTCAGAAATTGCTTGACATCTTCATTAAACAACATGTACTTTGCACTGGTTGTAACAATCTCAAACCTGATTTAGTATGTTATCACTATGTTTTTGCATTCACAAATTCATGAAATTAAATATGATTTTACTAAACTATTTATTGTTTTTATAGATTATTATCAGTAAAATTAATATCAGAAAATCATCTGTCACAAGCTTGTTTTAAATTAATATAATACAGTATTAATATTGAGTAAAAACCTGCGCAATTTTATGAAGTGTCAAAAGATAAAGCTACTGGTGATTATATTTTAGTTATTTAATATGCATGAATATGATCTTTGTATAAGGATCTTTTATTATATAAATAAAACGAGAAAACCTTAGAACTATTATATTTTCAGTTATATTATTCATTGTGATTATATAGCAGTAATACCGATATACATTGCTATATGCATCTATTAATGCTTGCAAAAATCAAGAAAATCAAAGCAAAACTTGTTTAAATAAGCATAATTACTAAATTAAGCTAGTTTATAATCTCGTTTTTTCAAACAAGTTTTAAATCACAAAACGAAATGCAAATATCAATGAAAACTGCAGATAGCTGCAGAAAATTTTTATCGTTGTTTTTTTTATTCGAAAATGAATAATTATAAGTATCCATTATTTGATAATATATTTACTGAAATCCATAAAGAATTAGAAACTTTTAATATCGAATTAGAAAAGATTCATGAAATATATCAGACAAATTATAATTCTGATAATGAATCAGATGAAGATTGTGATAATTTTATTAATAATCAAAGTTCGTCTTATTCATCGCAACTTGAAGATTTTGAAGTAGATAATATTGATGACTGTTTTACTAAAGATCAAATAGATGAATTTAGAAAAATCTATATACTTCATCCAATGCAATCTGTAATTGATAAAGAAATGAAACAAAAAGATCGATTAGACAAACAAGATAATCAAGCATTTTTAGTTAAATTAGCACAAACTAAGTGCTGTCAACAAAATTGTTTTAGTAATAGAGTTGATTCAAATATTACGCTTAGTAGATTTCTTGAAATCAAAGCAATGTCATATACTGAAAGCAATATTTGTTTTTTAGAAATGATCGATGCCAGTATCAAAGAAGATAATTTAGTTAATGGTATATCAAAAGTTAATTTAACAACAAATTATAGTTTTAATCAAAAAAAAATTTGTCAAAAAGCATGGTTAATAATACATGGTATTAGCAGAACAAAATGAGAAGCATTATGTATACATTATAAACAGCATGGACTTGTCTTAAAAATTCATGGTTTAACTGATCAAATTAGCAATTCGGCAATTCCTTTTTTAACTGTTTTGCATATTTTGAGATTTATTGTTAATTTTGCCAATCAACATGGCCTTCCATCACCAGGTAATTTAATTATTACTATAATTATTTTTATATATAAAACTTATATATTTATTAATAATTAGGTTTAAATATTTTTAGAACGTAGCTTTAGGGATGATACTAAAGAGATGATTTATTTACCTGCTTGTGAAAGCAAACGGTCTTTATTTCGTCTTTATAATAGTGTAGAAGCTGAAGAAATTAAAAAAATTAGTTTATCTAGTTTTCAAAGAATTTGGAAAAAATACCTTCCCAGTATCAAATTTATAACAGCACGTAATGATCTTTGTATGACATGCAAAACTATGCAATTTGGGGCAAAATATTGGTGTGTTGGTAAAACTCAGCAAAAATTAGAAGAGTGGACAAACCATTTTACTTGGGCTCAATTAGAGCGAGAACATTATAGGTATTAAAAATTAAATTTTAATTATATAGTAAATAAGTATTTAAATTTTATTGGTTTTATTTTAGAACTTGTATTGCTAACTCAAAAAAGGCTTTACAATCACTACAATTAATAAATTTAACTCGTCCTGGTTTACCTAATTCTATTGACATTAAAAACCACATCTCGTGGGATTTTGCAGAAGGGATTTAAATTCCTTATTCATCGCAACAAGAAGGTGCGATTTATTTTAAATCCTGTTATAAAATTGAATTGTTTGGTATATGTGAGGAGGCAATTCCTTATCAAGTAGTTATTTTTATACTTGAATATTTTTTTATTAAGATTAATATAATAATTAAGTATTATTTATTAAGATGAATTATCTAATTCCAGAGAACGAAAGTGTTGGAAAGGGAGCAGATACGGTAATTTCTCTCGTACATCATTATTTTTCAACCCATGGTTTAGGTGAAAAATGGGTCATTATTCATGCAGACAATTGCGTAGGTCAAAACAAAAACAATATAATGCTTAAATATTTTATGTATCATATAATGAATAGACTTCATGATAAAATTACTTATTCTTTTATGGTCGCAGGTTATACCAAATTTGGACTAGACAGTTTTTTTGGTCTTCTGAAGCTAAAACTTTGTGATTCTGAGGTAGATGATTTAGAGGACTTAATTCGTGTAGTGCAAGAATCTACAATTAATGGATATAACCAGGCAGACACTATTTATAATTCGCAAGGATTTAAAAAAATTATATTTTATAAGTGGTCTAAATTTTTAGATCAATTCTATACTTCAGTACCATCAATTTTAAAGTATCATCATTTTGTTATAACACGTGAAAATATGGGAAAAGTAGAAGTGCAAATGGCTTGTAATAAGCAAAGTCATAATGTTACTATTTCAAATACCAATCCTATTTTACGTGCAGAAAATGGTGAATTATTACTTCCAGAAATTGTAACTCCACGCGGAATCAGTTTGGAAAGACAATAGTACTTATTTAACGAAATACAAAAACATATTCAAGATCCCCAAAAGCGTGACATTTATTGCGCACAACCAAATCAACCAAAACTCAAAAAAATTAAACTTGACAATTAAAATAATAATTAAATTTAATTGTATTAATGTAAGTATAATAGTAAAACAAAAAAAAAAAAAAAGAAACAAAAACTAGTTTATGTAATAAAGTAAGCCTATTTGGCATCCCAGTATGAATAATGTCAGGGCATCTTAAAAAAAAAAAAAAAAAAAGCTAGCCTATATACAATTTGAATGCAATAATAAATTTTTATTCAAATTTTCAGAAACATTCAATACTCATCATAAAATCCGATCATTCACATCTGCCATACTCATCAAAATTTTGGTTACTTGAATTATAAACTTACAAATTTTTTTTTATTATTGTGGTTTGCAAAATTATGTGAAATTTGAAGACTATTAAAAAAAAAGTAATCACTAATTTCCGATTCCTGATTTCCAATTTCTTTGACTTTTAGACTAGACAAAATTTGCGCATTTATCATTTGTAAAAATTTGATTAAATATTTTAATGCGCAACTCCTATTTCTGAAATATATTACAAAATGATGAATATGCAACTTTTATTCCTATAAAAAATACCAAAATTTTTTCAAATAATAAATGCGACAAATTTTGTCTAATCTAAAAATGTTGAAAAAAATCAAAAATCAGTAATTACTTTTTTTTTATAATTATCTTCAAATTTCACATAATTTGCAAACTGCAATAAGTAAATATAGTCTTGAAAAAAACTCAATAATACTAACATTCGAGTCTGCCAATATTAATAATTAGTTGGATGGTGTGCCGAATATTCATTAATACACAGATAACACTAATTTTTTTTATCTTACCTAGATAAGTTTGCTTTCAGATAGGTATTTTGCAATTCTAATGTTATAGCATTAGAAAATCAAAGCGTTAAAAAAAATAAAAAAAAGGAAACATATGAATTGCATGCACATAAAAAAAATAGATGTATAGAGTAAAGCTAAAGTGATAGTATTTATTAGCGAAACAAGCCTGGACTACTAAATATCCTACCTGACTCATGTCTGCGATCAATAAACCCAAGCATACTTAAAAACCTATATAACCTAAGAATAATAAACCCAGATCTCTAACGTCAATAAGTTTGCATTGTCCTAAACACTTAGCCGAAATCTCTAAAAAAAAAAAAAAAGTATTTTTAGTTAGTAGCTATTTTGTTTTATTACTTGAAAATTTAGACGAAGCTTTTTCTTAATTTAAGCCAAAAAGTTGTGTTTATGACTTTTAGCCAGGGTGATAAATTCTGCCTATGAAGTATTCGGTAACTCGAAATGTTAGTTCGATTGCTGGTCCGATTTACATCGGATTGTTTATCAAATTTGTATAACACAAATACAAAAACGTGATTATCTCAATTATTCAAAAAATAGATTTGCCTGGATTTTGTTGACTCCCCCATATACTTCCTGCAAAAATATAAAAAAAGCACTCAAAATATGCCAAAAAAAAAAGCGCTCAAAATATGCTCTAAATTACTCTTGCTTTCTACAATACTTATATCCCACACTTTGGCCGAAAGATCCTCGCCTTGAATACCTTGAGTGCCTTGAACGTTTCTTTGCTGCATTTCATTTCCAAGATCTTGAAAATCATTGCTTAACTGTCTGATTAGGAGGTATATTTGACGGTTCTGAGCAAAGAGACATTTTCAGTCCTCAGCTTTACGGTGACGGTGACTTGAACGAGCTCAAATAAGGTAACAGGTATCAAAGGTAACAAAAAAAAAAAAAAAAAATTAGATCAGAAGATCGGCATTCAAAAATCAAAAAAAAAAAACCTTTTTATACCATCTC